AGGAATTTGCTAAATACAACCTGCTAAACAAGCCACAAGTGCCCTGGCTCTTAAAGGCTCTCAGGCACGTGCGTCCCTGAGGCCGGGACCTGGGCTTTGCAGCGTTTAACGTGGATGTGCTCTTGTCCCTCAGGCTGGGTGACTGGAGACGGGAAGGGACTCATCTACCTCACAGACCCCCAGATTCACTCTGTCGCTCCGACAGCCGCCTCTCCCAACTTTGGAGAGAGAGGGATTTCCTACTTCTTTCATCACCAGCACGCCGAATGCAGCGAGCTCTGCCGTCGCCTTGGCCTGACCAGGCCGGGAAGCAAGGACCCAGCACACGCTAGGCCCGCACATGGCAGCCCGGTGCCGTCCTCTGCCCTGCCGGCCTCCCCGAGTCAAGGTGGGCACAGTCTGGTCCCCTGGGGCGTGGGCAGGGCCGTGAGTTGCGAGACTGTGGCCCACTGCCCTCTCTGTGCCACAGTTACAGAGCCTGGGTCAGGCGGCTGCGAGCTCTGAGCCCGAACCTGCAGCGAAGGCGACAGGGCAGGGCCTGGGCCGACCTCAGCGGGCTGCACAGCTGAGAGCTGGCGTGATGAGGCCTTGCACGTCGTGGAACTCCATGTCACTCTCGAGACTGATGCCACTGCGTTCCGGCAGCCAGCTTACGAGTTCTTTGCATATTAAGATGTCCAAGCCCCTGTGATCGGACATCGGGCTTGATAAACGTTCATCCTTGCAGCGTTGTTGCTGAATGCATCATCTTTTACCCACGGCTTCTCGGTCCTATGCAATACTTGCCTCTATTCTCTGCTTCATTTTTGGAGTTCTCCCATATTTTCCGCTCGTGTGTTTAAGTATGTGAAAGTTATGAGAGAGAAGGGCATGTGGCCATGGGAGGAGTGGGGCCAGCTCTGGTGTCTCCTGCTTTCTTTTCCTTTTGCTATGAGGTACATATGCTCTCCGGAGAGAGACAGAGAGAGGGAAAGTGAGAACTCAGCTTCTGGGGCGTGTCTCAGGAGTCTGGGCATGCATGCACACTGAGCGTGTCAAGTCACCGGGTTCAGTACTCGAACCATCCAGCTGGTCATGTGAAATCCAGCTGCCTTAACCTCCATGCCACCTGCTGGCCTCTTTCTCACTCTTATGAGGCCTCCATTATTCCCTCGTGAGGCCCCGCCCTGGTGACCTCATCTGACCCTAATTACCTCCCAAGGCCCCGCCTCCTAACACCACGGTGAGACACAAACACCGGGTGTACAGGGGCACCACACCAGTCTTTCCACTCCCGGGTGTCTTTCGCGTTTCCACACGAAGGTTTTTAATGCGAGGTCATGGAAAGGGAGGACTGTTCAGGGGAGACTGAAAGAGTGGAGCTGATGAGACTAAGCCTCGTATCGCAGGAAACAAGAAAACAGAGAGGCGTAAGCAGCACGGAACCCAGCAGAAACTCCAGGGAAGTGGGTGCTGAGTGGGTGCAAGACTGAGGACAGCAGAAGGGGTTCTGAGCCACGGGCCGCGAGCCGGTGTGGCGTCGAGGTCACAGAAGCTGCTGCCGCCTGTTTGGTGAATGAAGCTCTGCCAGGGCCTGGCCGCCCACTCGGTCACGTCCCACCTCGGGCGCGTTGGCCTTCCCTGGAGCTGCGTGCCGCAGACTGAGTGCCTCCAGGTCAGGACGTTAACCACGGGGACTCTGCCCAAGAAGCTGCGGGCTCCGGCGGCTGGAGATGGGGTCAGGATGTCAGCACGCACAGAGGAATACAGAGATCTCTGCCCTGTGAGGGAAGGGGTGGCAACACGGCCGGGGACACGGACCTCCGTGTGACTGACAGAGGTCTTTCGAACCACACCCCAGAGCAGAGCACTTGCTGTGGAGCCGTGAGCGAGGCGAGCGCTGGTGGGGTGCACTGACGGGGTGAAGGTGCAGCCGGGGCACACAGCTCAGGGCGCGGGCCCACCGGGGACACAGGCACTGAGAGGGAGAGGGAGAACCCGACTGGACAGCCGTGCTGCAATCCCTTCTCCTCCAGTACCCTCTCAGGATTTGGGACTTGCACACACAGGCACCCAGCATGAGTTGAAAGCCTCCAGGTCTGGGACTCGAACCTCGGTCAGCCAGGTGAGAGTCCAGTAGCTTAGCCACTATGCCACCTGCTGGCCCTGCATTCATATCTTTTGAAGGGCAAAATCATACTTCATTTGCTTGCTTGTTTTCAGAGTTTTGTTTTTTGTTTTTCCTATAGGGCATGTGTGTTCACTGGAGAGACAGAGAGGGAGAAATTTCCCCCAGGGGCATGGCCATACCGCAATCCCTTCTCCTTCATTCTCCTCCCAGGATCTTGGGCACGCATGAGCACACGCCCTACATGAGTCTCAAGCTGCTGGGTCTGGGACTCGAACCCAGCCCACTACGTGGGAGCCCAGCGGTGTCATCATTATGCCATCTGCCGTTGCCCTCACACTTTGATTTTTAATGGCACGAGGGCATGTGTGCTCACCAGGGAGAGACGGAGGCGGAGTGGGGCAACCGCCTGAGCAGGCTGCAGTCACACTGCGGTCCTTCCTGGCCTGCCCGGTTTGGACACACACAAACATGTCTGGTGCGCTCTTCAGGCTCCCAGACTGGGACTTGAACTGTGGTTGGCCATGTTGGATCTGGCCCCCTTAACCATGGCCCTCTGCCAGTTACGGAGCCTGGGTCAGGAGGCCGTTGGTTCTGAGCCCAAGTCCTGCAGTGAAGACGACGGGGCAGAGCCTGGCTGACCATGGCAGACCGTGCTGCTGAGAACAGAGTCGGCCCGGGAACAGGCTGACGGGAGGAACGTGGAGGAAACTGCATTTTTAAACCTCTTTTAGTACTTATGCCCAAACCCACATACCCGTCTGGTTATAAAGTTAACACAATGCTACTGTCGAAGCCTCACCCCAGTCTGCACGCTCTCCTCCCCGCGAGAGCCTGCCGCCCCGAAGCTGCCGGTGCCCCTTCCTCTCTCCCATACTTGCTCCTCTGCTGGCATACCCACCGTGGAGAAGCAGCAGCCCGTCTTTCTAACTATTCTTCAGTTTCATATAAACATTTAAAAAGCCAGATGAATTTGGGAACCAGCAGTTAGCGTAATGGCTATGTCGCTGGACTCCCGCGTAGTCGACCGCGGTTCGCGTCCCGGACCCGGTGGCTTAAAACTCACGCCGGCGCGTGTGCGTACGTGCCCAAGATCCCCAGAGGAGAATGGAGGAGAAGGGATTGCGGCGTGGCCATCCCCCCTGGGGGGTGATTTCTCGCTTTCTGTCTCTGTGTCTCTCTCTGTCTGTCTAGCGAGCGCACACGCCCTATAGCAAAAATCTCTCAAAAAAAAAAGCCAGATGAATTTAAAAAGAGCCAAGTTGGGGACCAGAAGATAGCGTAATGGCTACATCACTGGTCTCCCATGGAGTTGACTGCGGTTTAAGTCTTGGACCCAGTGGCTTAAACTCATGCCGGGCGCGTGTGTGTGCCCAAGATCCTGAGAGGAGAATGGAGAAGGGATTGCGGCGTGGCCATCCTCTCTGAGGGGTGATTTCTCGCTTTCTGTCTCTCTGTCTCTCTCTGTCTGGTGAGTGCATGTGCCCTATAGCAAAAGCCTCTCCAAAAAACAATAATAATAATAATGATTATATATACGATATATGCCTTGACGTTTCTGCCCATCATGGGAGGCTGGGCTTTGAAGTGCTGGGCTGAGTCTCCTGTCAACCGAAAGCTCGCCAGGCCGGGTCGGCCCCTGAGCTGCTGTGCCTGTCACAGGAGCTGTCCCCACCGCTCCAACGGCCCTCGGCCACGAGGCAGCTGCCACCCCAGAGAAGTCCGACAGGGAGTGAGGCAGAAGAAAGCCAGTACTTGCGCGTGTGACTCCTGGTGCACCATGGGAAAGACCAGGGGGACCCAGGACAGCACGGGCTGAACTGGGCTGGCCAGCAGCGGGTCTGCTCCCAGCGGGCGCCCAGCCGTTCGTTGAAATGTGTAACCGAGTGGGCAGACGCCGAGTGGGCACCGTTGTCACTGGTGGGCTGTGCGCTGAGCCGGGCTCCGCCTGTACAGGCCCGCCCGGCCCAAGGCCACCCAGCCCGCAGGGCGAGTGACGGCGGCCCAGGAAGGAACCAGGAGCTCCCTCGCTCCCACCTCTAACTTAGGAAGAGACCCTTCGGCTCTAAACTTTTCTCATTTCTCCCTCCGTTCTTTAACGTTTATTTCCCATAGCAAATGGAAATTGGGACATTTTCAAGTAATTCTTAGGAAAACCCTATGATCATTTTTCTAAATTGAAGTAAATGTTTATTTTTAAATGTTTTGCTTGTGGAGTGTCCGGCTGTGAAACGGCAGTCTCTGAAGAGTGAGGTTGGCCGACATCAGTCGCCCTGTGTCCGGTGGTGGCGGCCTTTGTCCAGAAGGGCCGCGTCTGCTCTGTGCGTTTGGATCCGCCTGCGTGGTTCGGTGGAAATAGGTGCAAAGTGTCAGAAGCAAGAGAGTGAGGGGAAATAAATCTCTTTATTATGGCGCGTAAACCTTCAGTTCAAGGGAGCCTTGCAGCTGCACGGTGAGAAGGCTGCATTCAAAAATATAAAGCGAGTGTGAATAATCCTTTCTCGAATGCTGCCTGCAGACTGCTCCAGCTTTGTCAGGTGAACTTGAACCGGGCAGCGGGTCTGCCGTCCCCACCGCATGCTCGTCCATCACCCCGGGGCATTCACCATCTTGACTGCTGTTTAAAGAGAACGAGCAATCCATCATTGAGCAGGAGGTACCCCCACAGAAAAGCACAATCAGCCGGACGCGCCCAGCCCCAGGCTCTAGCAGATTAGAATGATCCTTGCGCTCACGTGTGGCTGGGGAGATTAACTCGGTGATCGTGTTCCGCTCCCCACACAAAAGAATCCCCCTCGAGCAGAAAGTGGGAGCTTTACAGACTGCACGTGGGGCTCCAGTCCTCCTGGTAAGGCCGAGCGAGCCCTTAACAGGAGAACGGGAGAGAATCTCCCCAGGGAGCTGCTAAGCCCTCCGTGAGCCTCTGCCAGGGACGACAGGAGTTTATGCCCCACTGCCTCCACGGCTGGCTTCACATGGCAACGTGAACGAGAGCAAGCAGCGAGTCCTGCAGCGCCAGTATCCAGCCCCACGCAGGAGCCGCTGGGCTCACAGGGCAGGCTGGGAGGTGGCCTGCCACACGGGGCCGAGGAAAGCATTGTCCCAACACGGAAAACCCTGGCTTCCAGCGCTGATTCTGTGACTGTTGTATTTGGGTTCAAAGGTAATTTAAAAAGAAGACAAAGTATTGACTTGCTTTCTTTTAGGTAAAATAAGTACACTAATTAAAACTCATGCAAGAAAAATCCCTAAGTGTTTTTTTTTTAACTGAGAAGAATTTTAAGTTTGCATTAGCCATTTGGACCTTACACTGCAGACGCCCAGTTTCCCTCCAGGCCTTCCTGAAGTGTGGACAAGACGCTTCCTCACTGCTTACGTCTTGCTCATTCTTGGCCATGCCAAGTGTGTTCTTAAAGTACAGGCACTTTTCTCATCGAAAGGATTCCAAATTGGAGAAAGTCCCATTCTGCACAAACTTTTCAGGCGTCACAGCTCTGACCACGCTGCTCTGTGTGGTGAGGACGATGCTGGGTGACAGCTGTCCTCCCACGGAGGGGAGACCAGATCAACCCTCGTCTCCTACACGGGCCACACACTCCATCCGCCTCTGCGGGTCCTTCCCGCTAACGGGAGGGTCACAGCGACTGGCTTTTAGGCCCATGTTCTCTGCGCCTGCCGCCGGGATCATGCGGTGTC